AATCTCAAGTAATTGTTGCCTGACTTCCAAGAATCGTAATTTTCAAGATCCTGAGACGATTATTTGTACACATTGTCATAATGAACGTTATCTATAAGATTTCTTTAAATATCAGATCCAATTAGTGCTTAGAAGGTTTTGAAAGTTAGCGAAACGTTATAGGTCATTCTTCTTGACTTAAAACTTTCTTGACTTTAAATTTCAATTTAGAGTACCAATTTCTTTATGATACAAGTTTAGGGTGGATTGGAAGATTGGTTTTCTTGGAAAATTGATAAATTCGAGTTGACTACTTGATGCCTCAAGGTCAAATTATACAAGAGTGTATGTTTTGGACGTAATATCAAAAGGTGATTCAAGTTTTAAATTCGAGAGAAAGAGAACATTCTTAATACTTGAAGAAATTGTCATTAAATTCAATAGGTTTTGAATCATATTGCAAGAGATATTACATGAATGTCATTTAAGAATCAACCAAATCCTTCACTCAAGACTTGTTACAAGTCTAATTCATGTCTGGGTTCTTGAAGTTCAAGTTATGAAGTTAAAACATAAATCTTAATTCAATGATCAAAGTGTCCATTGCAAAATAAAAAGAAAAGGGAACATTTCAAGTCATCCAAGTTTGAATCCAAGACATGATTCACCATATCATTTAAGAATCTATTCAAGTTTCAACCTTATTAATTTTAAACAATATTTAACTTCTCATCCAAATCAAAGACTTTTTAATACCAATGGTTTTCATTATAAAATACAAAATAAAGAAAAAGATGCAAAATAATCTGCCCAGGAGTAACAAAGTACTACTTCCTAGTTCTTGTCTAAATTACTAAACCTAACAACCTAACTTTATGCTCCAACGCAAACTCTTGCTGTCCAAACCTTGCTACAAAATAACCTTGTTGCTGCCCTGTTCACAAGCCCAATCTGCCCTGTTAGCTGCTCAAAAAAAAACTGCATCAATCTGCTGTACCAGTCCACCATAATTTCACCAAAATAGAGAAAAGAAAACCTGTATAATAAACATGTTGTTACTGTCTAAAATAGCCCCTATACCAGTCCACAAAACCTGTCAAAACAGCTGCAATAAACAACCAAAGGTATCATAAAATAAGAAAAAACAAAAACTCCATAAAGAAGGGCAATGAAATAGTGTACCGGAATTGTTCAAATTCATCTCATTTTCCCCTCCCAATTTAACCCCTCATTCTGCTATAAAAACAGAATACAATAGAAAAACAGGGAGGAGGAAAAGAAATTTATTCAACACAAATCAGAAAATATAAAACTCGCCTTTCTGTTCATGATCCAAATCATTCGACCCTCTCACTACCGCTTTCTATCACCTCTGAATAAGGAACAAAATGAAAACATAAGTTTTGTTGTTGTTTCGGGTAAGTTGGAAACTAAGTGAGGTTGTTGTTGTTTGGTCACTTGGAAGAACGATTGAGGAACTTAAAGCAGACGGAGGGGGAAGAAGTATATAAAAATTCAAAAGAATCGTTCACAAAGCTCCAATCTTGTAAGTCTCTCTTTCTAGTCTCATAAGTATACTGCTGCTTTGTGTTTCCTTAATTGGTTGTTGAACTTTCATTGTTTATGCTATTGTTTCGCTGTTATTGTCGTAACTGTTAAAACATACCAAAAAGAACAGAATTACGCGAAACAAAAAATCCAGAAGATACCTTGTCGTTTCAACTTCATCGACTACCGCCGTTGTTTCTTTCACTGCCCTCCAACCACATCTTCCTCCAACTCCCTTTTCCCTGAACTCTGCCGCACTAAATCCTTCTCCGCCTCCAAAACGAAGGCTTCTCTCGCACATTCGAGCCTTAAGGAAAATCCTGCGACGTTCGCGTCTGTAGCACTCTATACCCTCTCTTAAATCAAGACGACAAACGCAAAATCCCCAAACCGGAACCTCCGCGTCTCCTCCCTGAGCTTGATACCAGAAACCTAACTTCTTTATCTTCTACTCTTCAACAACCGTACATCGAGTCAGAAGAAGACGAAGACGACAAAGAAGAAAATAACATTATCGTTGAAGATTCAGACAAAGACGAAATCATGAAGTTTTACTCCCAGGCCGTCTGATTACACTTTATCTCAAGGCAAATCTAGAAGAGTGGCTGGAGAAGGGAAAATGTTGCTTCTGGACGAGATAGAGAAAGAAGGGATTTAGCGAAATTGGAGCAGAAGCGTTGGAGAAAGAGGTTGTGTTGTTGGTGTTTTACGATGAAAAAGCATAGAGCAAGATGTTGAGAGATGAAGTGAGATTTTGTTTGATTGTGTTTTACCGTAAAACATAGAGATAAGATCTAACAATCAATTATAATTTAATCTGCAATTTGTCTTCCCCATGACCAAGCTACAGCAGCCGCAACGCTTAGTTAGGTTGGGGTTACAACAATTTTCTTTGTTCAATTCCAACCGGGTCAGCCCATTGGGCTGCTGGCCCAATCCACTATCCGTTTTCCCTTTTGTTTTAATTAAACTGTGATAGTAACGAATGAAACAGATGGTGCAGTTGGTTAAGGCGTGATGGTTTGGAGGAAAGGTCTCAGGTTCGAGACCCCCTGAGACAATTTCCTCTCTTCTTTTTTTTTCTTTCTGATTTCAATTTCTTCTTTTTGGTAAACAAAAAAAACTTCTTGGGCTCTAAAGCCCATTCGGAAAAAACAACACACCCCCTATAAACTACTTTACACCCTTATTCTAATATCAAGTTTAATTTTACATCTTTATTGATTTTCTTGGCTCTTTTTATTTTAGTTTAAGGTCAATTAAATAATCATGTAATCTTTTAGTTAGATGGTTTTAGTAATTAAGTTCGACTTAGAATTATTGTAATAATTTTATATTTAATTTAGTTAGAAATGTTAGATTTTTTTAATTTAGTTTAGATTTAACTTAATAACTTTAGAATTTTAATTTAATTTTAGAATTAATTTAGTAACTTAGAATTTTAAGTTAGTTTAGATTTACTTTAATAATTTTATTTAGTTTAGATTTAATTTTATTAATATGTAGTTTCAATCCCAAAAATACAATTTCGAATTATTTAATTTTCTTAAATTAGTTTAGGGATTTTGTGGAAAAATTAGTTAATTAGCATTTTTTTTTGTTTAGTCAACATTCTTTTAAATTGTTTAAATTTCTTCATGATAAAGAAAACTAAAAAAAAAAAATAGAGTAAAACTTTATTTTAAATTTTTCTCATAAACAAAATACCAAAAATATTATTTTGCCTATTAGTTTTACTTTAATAGTTTGTTTTAGTCTAATTAACTATTTATTTTTAATTCGATTTGGTTGTATTGATTGTTTATTTAGACTTTCAATCGCATTGACGATTCAATCCATTCCCATTTGTAAATTTGTATTCCCCATTCCCAAAAGTTTTGTAATAGCGTAGAATTTTAATTTCCGCGATTTATTGTTTTCTTTATACTGTATAGTAATTAGGCGTGTATGGCAAGATTAAAATCAATCGCTTGATAACTCTAATCAAAGACAAATTAACTTGAATCAAACACACTTTTCACACACGCACCTCTAGGGTAACTTTGCTTGTTGCCTCGGAAAATAGTCATGTCCCTCAAATGTGGGACGCTTTAGCAAAGATCCTCGATAAAAAAGATCGTAGTCCCTTGATGACCCCTCGATGTCGCATTCGGTAAAATAATCTAAGTCCCTACAAAATTGCTAAAACCTCTCATAAGTTGCCATATATGACTATACGATTGACCCACGCCCGTCCCTTCACATCTAAAAATAGGATTTTTTATCAATCAATGGTAAGATAGCAACATCTAGAGGAGGAGGAAAAGAATAAAGACCTTTTGAGTAGGTAGGACGCTCGTAGTTGCTTGCTCACAAACTAAAACCATCTCCACACTCACACTTTCAAAACAAACATCTCTTTGAACTATTTTCAAAACCAACACTTTGTATACATTTTTATAGAGACGAGAATCATTACAAAGTTTGCCGAAACAAAGACATTTTCAAAATAATTTCAAACTTACACCAATCACCAACACATTTCAAACAAAGCATTTTCAAAGTGGTCAAACAACTAAGAGCTCGTAGATAACTACGGATGAAAAAGGTGCTAACACCTTCCCTTTTCATAACTTACCCCCCGAACTCAAGAAAGTTCTCAAAAATGTCTTTCCTGTTCTTTTCAATCTTTCCTTTATTGGATAAAAGAAAAGTCGGTGACGACTCTTGCTATCTGCAACAATTGCGATCAAACACAAAACACCCAAGTCAGTTCTCCCGCCGTATTACAATATGAATGACTAAACATAAAATTATATTGTCATCTATATGTATGACTCAATAAAAAAAATAGAATCAACTGAATTGAATTAAATTGTATTGTTTTGGTTTAGTTTGATTCAATTTTATTTATAAAAGCCAACCGAACCAAATTACATACTTTTTTTTCTTGTGGTTCAGATGGTTTTTTCTTCAAAACCGTCCAAACTAAGGGTGACAAAACGGGTCGTAGTCCGCCAGACTGACCCGCACACCGCCAAAAAATTGCAGGTTGGGTTGGAATTTTGGACTCACCGTCCATTAAAGTCTGTCCCGCTAAAGACCGTCATCCGCCAAGCTCGTCTCACCAAAACCCACCGCTCGTCAAAGTCTGTCGTGCTTATTCGTTCAATTTATCCCACTTTATATCCGTCCTTTTTAATTAATTATAGTAGTTCCAATTCAAACCGCCTTTGAAACACCTTGAATCTCATACAATGTAATTAGTTTACCGGTATTTCACTACTCTTAATGAATTAATTTTTTAAAAAGAAAAAGTGGTTTATTTATGTTTTATCCGCCACTCTTTGTTTTCTCCGCATTCTCATTTTCCTCCTAACTCCCAACGGATTCCTCGAGGTTCATCTCTTCTCTTTTCTTATACAATCTCCTCAGATCTCTCTCTATCTTTCTCTTCATCTCCATTTCCACTCTCTCTCTTCTTCCTCAACAAAATGCAATCCTCTCTCTCCCTCACTTTCTCTCCCACCACCTCCGCCGCCACAATCTCCAGATCACACCACTCTCTCCCACTCTCCACTGCCAAACCTATAAACCTCCGTTTATGCGGCTTGAGACGCGAGGCCTTGGGTTTAGGGTTTTCATCTTCCCTTAACCGTAATCTCCGCCGTCAATACTCCGCTATAGTATCCGCTGCGCGTTCCGACAATGGCAGCAGCACTTCTGGATCGTTCGATTATGATTTGTTGATTATCGGTGCTGGTGTTGGTGGTCACGGTGCCGCGCTTCACGCCGTCGAGAAGGTTTGATCGATCTCAACGTTCCAAATTCATAATTTCATACTCAATTTTGTAACTAAACTAGTAAGCAAGTTCAAACTGACAGTGATAGTAGCTACAGTATGGACATTGAAATTGATATGCAAATGATTATTATTATTATTATTATTATTATTATTGAGTAATTGTTATTGTTGAACGGTGATTAAGCCATAAAGTAAGGTGAATGTAACGATTATTTGGGAGAAATTTTGATGAAGCGGTGATTGCAGGGATTGAAAACAGCTATAGTGGAGGGAGACGTTGTGGGAGGGACATGTGTGAACAGAGGATGTGTTCCTTCCAAAGCTCTTTTGGCTGCTAGTGGTCGAATGCGGGAGCTAAGGAGTGATCATCATTTGAAGTCATTGGGCTTACATGTAATAATGTTACTTAAAACTAGGTTCTATTAAATTTATTCTTGTATTTGGAATTGGAATTTAGAATACTATACTTGATGATGAGTGTGTGTTTGCTTGATTATGTTACCTTTGTCTGTTTTGCTTTTTTTTCTTCTTTTCCTTTCAGGTTTCTTCTGCTGGGTATGACAGACAAGGAGTGGCTGATCATGCTAATAATCTTGCTTCCAAAATCCGTAATAATTTGACAAGCTCCCTTAAAGCGATAGGAGTTGACATACTTACTGGTTTTGGTACTATATTGGTAAGTGGCTTATTATATTATGCAATTTATGCTTTGTGAATTCTATAGCATCATGAATAAATATCAGTGCGATCACTTAAACCGTGTTTGAAATATTTAAAAGCAGGGACTGATTTCAATTAATTTGGTCTGAACAACAGGTTCTACCTTTATTTTAAACAATGGAATTTGAATTTATTTAGAAATCAAATTTTGGAGTTCTTCAAAAACTTGGAATTGTTTCATTTTTATAAGTTAAGCTATTAAGGGTAAATCAGTCAAAATATTAAATAGATTCCTGGCTATTAAGAAGCAATAACATCTATTATTTTACTTAATTCGTTTTTAAAGACACTTGACTTCATTGCCATTCAAAATTTGTTTTTAATTCTCAAATTAGATGCCTTTAAAATTCCTTCCCGGCGTTAAAATTTATTCATTTTTTAACTCTCTAATTAGTTCATTTGAATCCCCACCTTTTTGCATTGAAATCAACTCTATTTTGCTGCTTGAATATATTACGGTCCACTCTAGTTCACGTACATGCAATGTGAATTAACCAATATTTTTGAAAAATAACAATGATAAATATTGCACACTGCTTTGATCATGATAATGGCAGTGGAGACTACAACAACATATAACAATTGATGCATAGCTACACATCGCTGCTAAGCGAATCAAATTGGGAGAAATTAAGTGAAAAAATTATTTTTATGTCTTCTATTTAGGTCCAAGGAGAGGTGAAGGATAAGAAATGAAATTTGAAATCGAGTTGATTTACCCTTGTACAAAAAATTAGAATACTCACTCTTGAAATGAGATAAACCTTTATATACTTTCCCCCCATCAAGTACAAAGACACTTAATTGAAAACCACATTAGTTTTCTTCTTTAAGGCCTCATTGGTTGTCATTTCATTTTCTGTTTTCAATCTGAACGATAAAAAGGCCATATTGTTTTCACTTTGTTTCCTATCTGTAACGTTTTTGTATAGTAAATAGTGAAAAAAAGATTTTATTGTTTTCCCTTTTTCCTTTTTTACTTGATTTATAATTCAAATTCATTTTAATGTTTCAACCACACTCTGGAACTATTTGTTTATTAGCCGAGACTATCTTGAAATGGCAGAAGAAAAATCTTTACATTTTCATTTGTTGCCATGAATGAATCTGCGCAGGGTCCTCAAAAGGTGCAAATTGGCTCTTCAAACAACGTAGTAACTGCAAAAAATATCATCATTGCCACTGGGTCGGTTCCTTTTGTCCCTAAGGGTGTTGAAGTTGATGGTACACATCAATCTTTTCCTTCATGCCATGGATATTTGATGTTTCTCAATCTAGTTTTACTTAATTTAGTGGACTTCTTGTCCTGCATTCTAGTTTACTTCACTTAGTTGACTTCTCTTTTCTACAAAAGACTGAAGTCCCGTGCAAGTTAAAAAGGGATAAATTTTCCATTGAAGATATTTTTTTTGGGTTAATAGTACATAGAACAGTATCGGAGAAATTTAACTTAGTTTTATGACAGGGATGTGAACAGTGAAAGCAATACTTTCTAAGAACATTGATAGACATATATCCCAGGAATAAAAAAGACTCACATGATTTCTATTGCTTTGGAAAAGGCATGGTTAGGATACCTAAAGATAGAGGTTTTGTGGATGGTTTTAGAGAAGAAAAAAGTTCATATTGCTGATACTAGAGCGAATAGAAATATGTATTGTAGGTTACTATCAAGTTCGAGAACTGGGCAAAGGAAAACAAGGTAGGCCTTGTATGTCACTGGGAAAACAAGGTAGGCCTCGTACGATAACCGTAATACCACCCCAATTGTCATCTAATGGTCAATCTTTTTAACTTGGTGCTGGATGGGCTTAATAAATTAAATATAAATATATTTAAGAGCCAGTGACATGAATCACAATGTGTACCTTTTTAGATAATATAGTACGAGTTTGAGAGTTGAGTGATGTAATGTTGTCAAATTGCCGCTAGGGTGTTGTTTCGTGACAGATGCTTTGCCAACTGCCAAGTTGCAACAGCTATTATATCAGCCACGTTTCCTCCATAGCAGCACTATTTATATGGCGTATTTTTGGCTTGCCGCCACAGTCCTTCATCTACCACCGATAGCATTTAAGAAAAGTAATAAACTGAGATCTAGATATAAGCTTTTAAAGCACATGACTTTTGTTTGAAGATAAACAAAACATATATGAAATGTAAGTTTGCATAAGTTGCAGTAAGCTTAGAGGTGAAAGTTGGAGATCACGCCTTACCCCAATTCACAGTTTGAAAGAACTGGGTCAATCATACAAAATGAAAAATAGAGATAGATTTTTCTATAGGTGGAATCAAAATGTAATTTAAGTCTTTCTACAATAGTTTCACAATGGGTTTGACCCTTCCTTGAACGCCACCATGGCTGGCACTCTTATCAGGGCAACTTTTTTAACCAATAGACTAGTAATGTTGCAGAAGACTGAATGTTGGACAGAGAAGAATCGATAAGAAAATAAGCTCCATTTTGCGATGATAATACAAGATAGGATTAAGAATGAACGCATTGGAGAGAAAGTGGGATAGCATATAATACATATTGTGGTGAAGACAAGTTCTTGTAAGAGACTAGTTGGAGGGTAGTCCAATAGTTAGAAGGAGACAGAGACCAAGAAATATTATAAATTTTTAAGTCAAATATGAAGGACTTGAGTTTAAATGGTCCGTCTTTAGAAATAATTTGCAATAAGATATTATATCATTTGGTTCATGCAGTTAACTCCATCTATCTGATGAGTGTTATGTTATTGTAGTATATATGATTATAGACTCCAACGAAATGTACAAAGGGGACCTTAGTTCAGTATAGGTCAGATCTTCTTTTTTACACTCTAAAATATCAAAGTAATGACTTACAGTTCTCGTATCTGTACCAATCTATAAAAGAAGGATGGTCCACAGCTTTTACAGTCCAGTGGTCAAGAGACATCAAGTATACATAAATAGTTGTTATCTCTTAAGCAATTGAAAATTTCAGAAAAATTCTTTATATCCTAATTTGTACATTTACCCCAAGTACCAATTTTCGGTGTACGACATACCTCCCATTTAACTAAATTAAAAAACTCCATCTGCTTCTAGATTTATATCAAGAGGAAAACTTTTTTCTTCTTTATGACCTAAATTTAATACTCATTTATAAATTCAAACCTTGTATCCTTTTTTTCCCATCTCTGTAGTTCTTGTTTTATTGGCTATGATAATTTCTTTATAAAAAAATTCAACTTTCATCTCCAGGGAAGACTGTGATTACCAGTGACCATGCACTCAAACTGGAGTCTGTTCCTGACTGGATAGCAATTGTAGGAAGTGGATATATTGGCCTTGAATTCAGTGATGTATATACGGCACTTGGAAGTGAGGTGACACATCTTTGTGATACTTTTACTTTCTTTTTCCACTATCTTTTGTTCATGAAGAATAATTGCAAATAATTGACTGTTATCCATTGAAATCAGAAACTTGTGTCTGTGCTGTAAAAATCATCTGCTTGCTATGCTTTTTATTAGTTCTAGAAGTTATCAAATATTATTCTAACATTTAGGTTCCTAGTTTATTGTAAGTTAAGTAATCATTGGTATTATGCAGGTTACTTTTGTTGAAGCTTTAGACCAGCTTATGCCTGGATTTGATCCTGAAATCAGTAAGCTGGCTCAAAGGGTTCTTATAAATCCCCGTAATATTGACTATCACACTGGAGTTTTTGCATCCAAGGTAACTACGGACTCTTGTAATTTCTTGATCAGTTTTGTTGATTGGCTACATTGACATGCCACTGTCCTCATGTTTTCCTTATAGATTACGCCTGCAAGGGATGGAAAACCCGTCTTGATTGAACTTATTGATGCAAAAACTAAGGAACCTAAGGACACTTTGGAGGTAACTTAATCTTTTATTAGAAACATTTCAAGTAAACTCATTTTCTTAACTGTTAAGATTTCTCCCATGAGAAAGTATATATCATGTGTGAATGTGTTGAGCTTAAGTGCTGAAGCTTCTGGTTGTTGATTCACTAAACTCAGATCTCATTTTCAAAGGCCATAAGCGCTTAATGTACCGTGTATCTATTTTGCATATGAGTTTATGAAGCTGCACCGAGGCAAACAATATACGATTGATTCACTCTTATATTACAAATTTTCTCTTTTCCTTGTTTTTATTTTTTTTGCATCTTCCGTAGTCTGTTAGTTCACCTCTTGTTCGTCTGTATATTTTATTTTATTTGTCTTTACTGTAACAGGTGGATGCTGCACTAATAGCAACTGGAAGGGCTCCATTCACAGAAGGTCTAGGACTGGAGAATGTATGTATTTCTAATAGAACTGTGTTTAGGAGAGGACATTTTCCCCGAAGGAAATGAAAGTATTATTTTTGTACATTGTTCCTACAGGTTGATGTGGCAACACAGCGAGGTTTTATTCCCGTGGACGAGCGCATGCGTGTAATTGATGCAAATGGAAAGCTGGTTTGTCTCAATTTCTCATGCACTAATTATCTTCTGTCTGACTTATTGTTACTGATATAGGATGTGGAATGATAGGTGCCTCATTTATACTGTATTGGTGACGCAAATGGAAAGATGATGCTTGCTCATGCTGCCAGTGCACAAGGAATTTCAGGTAAGAAGAAACTGATAAAATTTCCCCTTTTTTTCCGCTTCAGTTTTATCTGATTAAAATGTTTCCAACAGTGGTTGAACAAGTCACGGGAAGAGATCACGTGCTCAATCATTTAAGTATTCCAGCTGCATGTTTCACTCATCCTGAAATCAGCATGGTTGGATTGACAGAGGTATATCAGAACTTTCACTGCTATGAGTATTGTAGTGAATCTTTTCTCTTCCGTCTGTGTGGTCAGGACTCTCCGTTTTTCAGCTCTACTACCCCTTTGTCACTATGTTTTTTGGAAATGGGTTCTCTCATGTGTGATTTTCACATGATAGGGTAATGTGTAATGTCTCACCATTCATAATGACAACAACATATGAAAATCACACATGAGAGGGTCCATTACCATATTATTCGTACAATGAAGTTACTGCTTGTTATTTTTCAGTTGAAGTTATTATGTGTTATAACCTAATTTGAAATTTGCAGCCTCAAGCAAGGGAGAAAGGTGAAAAAGAGGGGTTTGAAGTGAGTGTTGCTAAAACAAGTTTTAAAGCTAACACAAAAGCCCTAGCAGAAAATGAAGGGGAGGGACTTGCCAAGGTTATTTTTGTGTCTTCCTTCGTTAATGCTTATGAAAATGTTGAACATTTTTTATGAACTCTTTACTAAAAGAATTACTTTGGTGGCATCAAAATTATTCTGCCATGCTAGCTGTTCTACACTCTTATCCATTTTTATCTGCATGCATTTAGTTCTCTGTTCTTACAGGCTTGACAATGCTAAGTGCTAACTGTCATTTACACTTTAATGCAGTTGATATACAGACCCGACAATGGAGAGATCCTAGGAGTTCATATTTTTGGTTTGCATGCAGCAGATCTCATTCATGAAGCTTCCAATGCTATAGCATTAGGAACACGTATTCAGGTAATATTTTCTACCAAAATCTGTATATATATGCAGTTATGCACCTTGGTTTTATCGTGTCTATCTGCCAAAGTTCACCATTTCTGGTGTACAATGCAGGACATTAAATTGGCAGTTCATGCACATCCAACTCTATCCGAGGTTCTTGATGAGCTATTTAAATCCGCAAAGGTGAGATAATCCTTTATGATTTTCAACACCTTATTTCGAAACACCTGCTTTAATATGGGTTCTCTTCTATTACTAACGCAGGTTAAAGAACACACATCTATCCCAGTAAGTGAACCAGTTGCCGTCTAATCTTCCAAAACAAAGTATAAATTTTTGAAGAAATTTGCTTGTATTAGGAACTTCCGAAACATTACACATCTTCAGGCGGAGGAGACGAGCACATTCAGAATCCTGTAAAAGAAGGGAACCGTTTGAGGGGGATCACCACTGGCTTGATAATGGATAGCAGACGAATATTACTTGTATTAATATATTTTTTTCATGATATTTATAGAGCCTGTCAAAGATTATTACATATATTATTATTGTTCCTTTTAAGTTAGTTTGTTTTTCCTTGTTGTAGTCGTTGAGAAGGTCTTTGAAAGTGGCCTATTTTTTTTGGTTTAGTTTTGTACCCAATAAATATGTACCATAACAGTTTTCCGAAATTTATAATTTATCATAACAAATGTAACCATAACGGTTCTTCTCATTTGTTAAAGATGTAGTCTAGTAATGCACCGAGTACATATAATATGAGTTGGATTCCTCTCTGTCATACCTTAAATTTGTCTTGCTGTTAATGGTTAATTCATGTTAATTAATCACATTTGTATATTTATGTTTTGTTATTTCTAAATTTTTGAAGGGGTGTATAATAATTGAGAGGTGCATTATCACTGTGCATGAAAGTTGCGTGTTTTAAAGAAAATGGGGTGTATATCCATTCATCTCGTTATAAGGGGTATAATATCATAATTGGGGTGTGTTTTTTCTATAAGGGCTCGTTGCTTCAATTTTTTAGATTGACAAATTAAGCTGTGTTTTTCGAAGGGCCGTTGTTTTAGGATCGACTAAAGTCAACAGTTTTCCTTTTCAATTCAATTATCATTATTATTATTATTATTATTTTCTACTATTCAATTTCTAGTAGAAAATAATAATAATAATAATAATAATAATATGAGTTGGATTCCTCTCTGCCATACCTTAAATTTGTCCCGCTGTTAATGGTTAATTCATGCTAATTAATCACATTTGTATATTTATGTTTTGTTATTTCTAAATTTTTAAAGGGGTGTATAATAATTGAGAGGTGCATTATCACTGGGCTTGAAAGTTGCGTGTTTTAAAGAAAACGGGGTGTATATCCATTCATCTCGTTATAAGGGGTATAATATCATAATTGGGGTATGTTTTTTCTATAAGGGCTCATTGCTTCAATTTTTTAGATTGACAAATTAAGCTGTGTTTTTCGAAGGCCCATTGTTTTAGGATCGTAAAGTCAACAATTTTCCTTTTCAATTATCATTATTATATTATTATTATTATTATTATTATTATTATTATTATTATTATTATTATTATTATTATTATTATTATTATTATTATTATTATTATTATTATTATTTTCTACTATTCAATTTCTATTATTCAAATTATTGTTATTCAGTTATTATTTAATTGTTATTTAACTATTATTATCAATAATTATTTTTGGCTTCGTTGATTGAAGTCAACAAGGGTTAAAAACCTTAATTTGCTATTGCGTCCAATTTGGGTCTTCTTCTTCCCTAAGTCTTTAAAGCCAGAAACACAAATCTGGATAAGATCTTTGTAGTAAAATCAAATAAAAAATTTGATTAATGTTTGTTTTTATTTGACTGAAAACGAATTTGTACAAAGAATCGTCCAAATTCATACAAAGATTTACCCTAACTCTATTTTCTAACAAGATCAAATCTATTTCTAAAAGTACAATCAATCAATCTAAGCTTAATTTGCAATCACTAACAAGTAACTCAAATCATAATAATATTTCCTAAATCAAACAAATTCTAAGCCTATAAAAACCCTAAGAAATTAGAAGAAGGGGGGGGGGGGGAGAAAATTGGAGGACGAAAACCCCTTGAAGATCTTGAAGCTTGCTACGAATCCCCTTGCCTCCACCAAAGTTCTTATTCAACAAAATACTTAGGGTTTCACAACTGAAACCCTAAGCCTTCAGAGTTAAGCCTCATACCTGTAAAACAAAGAAGAAGGGAGAGATTAGAGATCTGAACAAGGATAATCGAAGAACAAAATGAAAAGAATCATTACAAATTCAAGTAAGCCTAAGAACTCTTAGCTTTTAGGGTTTGAATGATGATGTTTGATGCTTTGTTTTATTTTGAGTTTAGGGTTTTATAAAGGGAAATTTGGATATTTAGGGTTCAATTTGGGGTTAGGTTTAAACAGGTTAGGGTTGGGGATTTGGGTTATGGTTTGATGATTTAGGGTTAGGGTTAGAAGCAAACACATTAGGGTTGTTTGATCTAGTTAGGGTTAGGAGATAAGTATAGGGTTAAATGAAGATTGTATGAATGTTTGAAGTTGTCTGGTTGGGTTGGTTGAAGATCTGGGTTGTGTTTGAATATGGACGGTGGTTCCGGGTTGCCACATGAGTGCTTAAGATGAAAGTGGTGGTTTCGACGGTAATTTGAGGTGCCTCCGTCGGTGGAGGCGATTTCCGTTCACCGAAAATCTAAAGAGAGGGAAAAGCATCTCTCTCTAAACTCATATAAGGATTTCATTGTTTGGTGTAAAGAGAGAAAGAAGAAGGGGAAAATGAAACAAATGTGTGGAAAACGAATATATAAGCCTCATGTTCTCCGTGTTTCACACATAACATACTCCCTCATTCAACCTTAAACTTGCACCTTTCGTTCTAAATACTTTTAATCCACACCACAAGATCAACTCTTGAGAGCCTTTAGATTAAGATGAACGCTCCAGATCACGTCTGCTCACCATAACCATATACATCATCCCACATTTTCCCCAACGAACCAAATACAAGTATTTGGGCCAAACCCTTTCTTTTTGCACCCTCAGTATTTTCTTTTACTATTTTTCAACTTCAGCTAGCACCCCCCAAACATAGCTGGGCCAAAACTAATTATTGAGTTCAAGTCCTTCGTATTAACGCCCCTCGAATTACTTCCCAGTTCAAACCTACACCCCCTGTGTAACTGGGCCAAGTTCAATTTCTAAACTTAAGCCTAAATATCTACGCCCCCTGGTTTTACTACCTAACTATAATTCACACCCCAACCTATTTGGGTTCAAGTATTAAAATATTTTGTGCATAAAATTATTAATAAATAAATATTAGATTTTTATTAAAAATATTTAATATATTTTTAATAATAAGAAAATAGTTATTTGGTAATTTATTTATTTTTTCTAAAATACTAACCCTATTTTTCATAATTTCATCAAACATTTTTTATCATTTAATTTTTTTTTTTGCAAATTGCATCACACATCTAAGACATCTAACCAATCAAATGCTAACTTTTTTTCTACTAACATAATTCAAATTTCAACATTATTTTCAAAAATGATTGTGGAGATATTTTCTATTAACTGCGAATTGCGTCTACGATTCCACTATTTTCAAATCCAGACAAGGTTCAAAGAGAATTCAAAATATTTCCACAGTCCATAAAAAAACACCAATCAAACTATGAACTACGAATTAGGACTCTGATTCCTCATAAGAGGATACATAGGCACACTGTTAAAACCAAGGAGAGTCCCTCAACTATAAAAACTAGACATTTTCTTAAACATGTGGAAACATTAACTTTTAAATAGAAATTCCCGATTTTCTCTACGACCTAAACGTGAAGCCCTTTGAGAACAAGGGAGATGAAAGATGCCTAACACATTCCCTTCGTCTAACCAACTCGTGAATTTAGAATCTCTGTATGAATTAGGGTTATCCGTTACTCCCCCGTTCTTAGTACAAAAATTGATGGTGGTGACTCTTTATTTTTTACCGATTACGACAACTGACGACTCTGTCGGGGACACAACCCTAGGGTTTAGAGTTTTCCCTCTTTTTAGGTCTAGGGTTTTTGCTATGGTTTCTTTCTATTTTTGGTGTGTTTGTTTCTATATATGTTTATTTTTGTTTATATTTTGTTTATTCATATTTTGTTTTATTATCATATTATTTCATTATTGGTGGGTTTTCATTTCAAAAATAATATACCAAACCTTAGAAGAAGGACTGTCAATTGGCCAAGGGGGTTTAACATACTTATGAGTTTTTGTGACAACTTCACCAAGAGTCGGTGGAATTTCTAAAAAGAAATATCTCTCAAGGGGCTAGACTCTTTGGGGGATAGTACTTTGGAAAGAAACCTATGACTCTTTATATAATCCAAAAATAAAATCTCATGGAGAGACCTTGTACGACCTAAGAGATGAAATTTTCGGTCTACAACGAGGCTCTGCCTAAGGGAGGCCCTTGTGCCTTTACCCTTTGGTGTTATCCATGATACCCTTAAGGAAACCACCTTTAGAGAGGGTAGAATATCCTTAGGATGAAACTAAGAACCTACGTACTAAGAAAACTATTATCATTCCATCCTTCATAGGAAGCCTTCCTGCGAGGGACATTCTTTTGTAACTTTAAACCTACGTAGGGTTACCCCTTATCATTATTATACCCTAAACTTGTAGGGGTATTTCTTTGGTTTAACCCATAGGGTTTTCTATTGAGTAATAATCCCTAGTCTGTAGAAATTTCATATGGTGTATCACAATTCCTAGACTGTATGGATTTTTTTGTCATAATCCATAGCCTGTAGGGATCCCCTTTTGTTCATCATTATTCTTAGAATAATTATAGGATCTTTCTCCCCATATGGAACCTTCCTACGAAGGATGTCCCCGCTGATGCTCGCCACGTGGCCTATAGAAAGCCATGGAATCTAGTGAGTGTTGAACGATCACCGTGTGCTCTCTTCTACGTTATTCTCTCAAGTCAAACTTCTATCCCAATCACATATTTGTCATCATTTCTAACCTGTAGGAATTACTATTTATCTGTCACAATCATTAGCCCTTAAAGGGCTTCCTTGTGTCTGTCACAATTCGTATAGGTTGTCCTTAGGTTCATCTTCTTTCTAACCTCGCATTGCATTGCGTCTCTACAAAAATATTTTTGCATACCCATGCATGGTCATTCGCATACATGTGCATAAACCTCATATCAATTTACACTTGCGCCCTGATCCAATTGTCTATGCTAGCTGATT